GACTCCAACTCAAAAAAAAAAAAAGAATTACAGAATGTGCACAACAGGGCAGGCATCGTTGAAGACTAGCTGTGGGGGAGATAACTGAAGTTTTAGGGTCCATTTGAAGTGTTTGGCAAGGAGGGAATAACATTCAGAGAAGAGATAAACACAAATACGTGGGTTCTGAGCTAGGCAAGATAATGGCTTATTTAGGGGAGCTGCAAGTAGTTCTGTATAATTGAAATAAAAGGGGTGAAGGAGAACAGGTTGGGAAATAAGTCATGAAAAATAGGCAGAGAATGAAGTATATTTTTTTTTTGGTCTGTTGCCCAGACTGGAGTACAGTGGCATGCTCATGACCATCACAGCCTCAACCTGCTGGGCTCAGGTGATCCTTCCGCTTCAACCCTCCAAGTAACTGAAACTGCAGGTGTATGTCACCACTCCCAGCTAATTTTTTATTTATTGTGGAGACAGGTTGCCCAGACTGGTGTCGAGCCCCTGGCTCAGGCAGTCCTCTTGCTTCTGCCTCCCAGACTGCTGGGATTACAGACATGAGTCACGGCGCCTGCCCAAAGGATCTTTTATACACATGAGAGAGAGGAAGCAGTCTCTAAAAAGTCAACACAGTTTTCCTGTGGATAGCCAGATAGTAAATATTTAGACTTTGCAGGCCATGCAGTCTATGTCACAACTACTCATTTCTGCTGTTCTAACGTGAAGGCAGCCAATGATATGTAAACACATGAACATGGCTGTGTTCTAGTAAAACTTTATTACTGAACTTTTGTATTTGGCTTCGTAGCCAAAGTTTGACAACCACTGCTCCTGAAAAGTCACTGCTCAGTGTAAAAATTAGAGTTAAAAGCTTCACTTATTTAAATGATAATTTGAAATCCAGGTTAATCACCTGACTTTTGCAGTCAGAAGAAGCCTAGCATCCAAAAAACGGGAGTCCATCACTGACAAGTCATGGAACAAAGAATTTAGCATCCTTCCTTTGCCTGCCACATCTATGTGAGATCCTCATGTTACTTTGGAGTAGAGTGGGGTGCACCAAAGAAGAATAGGAAACCAGGCAGTTGGTGCTACTCTGTTTTTCCTTTTCATTAATGGAACCAACTAAGCAAGCCTCTTTCCTTTTAAGTTTCTCTAGGAACTGTATGACCACTGCTTAATTTGTCCAGGACACAATTTTTTTTTTGCACACAATTTACTTTATAAATTCTGCTTGGAGGAATTGAGGAAGATACCAAGCTATAAGCTGTCCCAAGAAACTGAAGTAAACTTTAAAATGTTAATTAACTAGGATTATAACCTTATAATATAGTTAAGCTTTTTTTCAGTGTAGTAGGGAAAAAACATTGACAAAAGAAAAGTTGCAGATAATTTTTTTTTTTTTTGAGTCAGAATCTCACTCTTGCCCAGGTTGGAGTGTGGTGGCATGCTCACGGCCACCGCAGTTTCAACCTGCTGGACTCAGGAGATCCTCCACCTCAGCCTTCCAAGGAGCTGGACCCACAGTTGCACACCACTACCACACCCAGCTAATTTTTTGATTTATTGTAGAGACGAGTCTCACCAAGTTGCTCAGATTGGTCTCGAACCCATGAACTCAGGCAGTTCTCTTGCCTCCGCCTCCCAGACTGCTGGTATTACAGGTGTGAGCCACTGCGCCCGGCTGCAAATAGTTTTTTTTAATGGATTCTAGGGATGCACTTTGTGGTAAGCTAGACAGTGGGAAACAAATAATGAGTCCTGGCTTTAAAGAAGACAAGTGTTTGACTACAATTTATAATAGAACAATCTATTCTTACCTTGGCTTTGCCCAGTAGCAATGGGATCTTTACTTTTATATCTCACTGAGATTATTAGAAAAGATTTGGTGATTTTGGCAATATTTTGATATCATCTACCAAATGGCTTCATTTATAGTTAAATAATGGTGTGCTTTACATTTTTCAAAAATTCCAATTGAGTTTAAAAATAATTGACGAGGCCTTGCACGGTGGCTCACGCCTATAATCCCAACCCTTTGGGAGTCTGAGGGGAGAGGATTGCCTGAGCTCATGGGTTCGAGACCAGCCTGGGAAACTTGGCAAGACCTCATCTCAACAATAAATAAAAAAATTATCCGAGCATGATGGCGCATGCCTGTAGTTCCAGTTACTTGGAAGGCTGAGGACGAAGGCTCGCCTGAGCCCAGCAGGTTGAGGTTGCAGTGGCCGTGAGCTTGCTACTGCTTTCCAGCCTGGGAGACAGTGAGATTCCATCTCAACAAATAAAAATAATTGATGAAAAAAATTGGAAATGTGTCCAGTCTTAGTTGTTTTTTTTTTTTGAGTTGGAGTCTCACTCAGTCGCCCAGACTGGAGTGCAGTGGCCGCTCCCAGCCACCACAGCCTCGACCTGCTGGGCTCCGGCGATCCTTCTGCCTCAGCCTTCCAAGTAGCTGGAATTACAGGCATGTGCTACCACGCCCGGCTGATTTTTTTGATTTATTGTAGAGATGAGGTCTTGCCAAGTTGCCCAGGTGGGTCTTGAACCCGCGGGCTCAGGCAATCCACTCACCTCAGCCTCCCAGAGGCGTGGGATTACCGAGTGAGCCACCAAGCCCGGCTGCATTTCTTTTTTAAAGAAAGAAAAGGTATAGTGTGATAGAGGCAAATATTAAATAAGACAAATATTTATTAAAAGTGATAATTGTCTTTGTGTACTCACTGACTTCTAAAGCAATATTTATCTCCTTCCCTCTTTTTTTTTTTTTTTGAGTTGGAGTCTCACTTTGTTGCCCAGGCTGGAGTGCTGTGGTACACTGATGACTACCGTAGCCTCGACCTGCTGGGCTCAAGCAGTCCTTTTGCCTCAGCCTTCCTTCCAAGTAGCTGGAACTGCATGCATTTACCACCAAGCTCGGCTAATTTTTCGATTTGTTGTAAAGATGAAGTTTCACCAAGTGCCCAGGCTGGCCTTGAACCCGGGGGCCCAGGTAATCCTCTCACCTCGGCCTCCCAAAGTGCTGGGATTATAGGCATGAGCCACTGTGCCTGGCCCTGTATTAAGGTATTTATTGGAAGTTGTTGAACAAAACACAAAGCACAAATTTGGCAAAATAGCAATAGATGAAGCGATGTGGGTGTTTACTGTACTATTATTTTCTCTGTGGGTTTGAAATTTTTCAAATTTAAAAAATTGGTGGATGCCAGGCGCAGTGGCTCATGCCTGTAAGCCCAGCACTTTGGGAGGCGGAGGTGAGAGGATTGTCTGAGCTCAGGGGTTTGAGACCAGCCTGGACAACATGGCAAGATCTCCTCTCTACAATAAATCAAAAAAATTAACCAGTGTGGTGACGCATGCCTGTGGGTTCCAGCAACTTGGAAGGCTAAGGTGGAAGGATCGCCTGAGCCCAGTAGGTCAAGGCTGTGGTGGCCGTGAGTGTGCCACCTGCACTCCAGCCTGGGTTACAGAGTGAGACTCCGATTCAAAAAGAAAAAATTGTAGGAGAAAACTTAATATTTTCCAAATTAAAATACTTTTTACCACCATACACATACATCCCAACTTGCTTCTTCTCAAGTCTTCCCTATCTTGTTAAGTAGTGATTTTGTTCTACCTGGTGAGTAAGCCAGACCCTCTGAGACATCTTCGAATGTTCTTTTCTGTCATATCAGTGCACATTCTATTAATTAGTAAATTCCGTCTGCTATACTCTCAACCTATGTCATGAATTTGATCACTTTTCACTACCTTTACTGCAACCATTCTTACTTCTAGTTGCCATTACCTACTTTATTATAATAATTTCCTAACTGGTCTTTGCTTCCAACGTTTTCACACATATCCTAGTGTTTTTTCTACATAATATCTAGAGTGCTCCA